TAGCTGTGTGACCTTGGTTGAGTGAAATCTCTTAGACCTATAATTTCCTCTTCTATCTAATAAGAGGGTTGGACTTAAATCAGGAGTTCTTAACCTGAGGTCTGTGGACTTGTTTCTCAAAATGCAGTGAAAATCAGGGGTAGCTAGGTGATGCAGTGAATAGAGCTCCAGCCTTGAAGTCAGGAGGACCTGAGTCCAAATTTGGCCTCAAACACATGATACTCACTAACTGTGTGACCCTGGGCAAGTCACTTAACCCCAATTGCCTCACTCAAAATATATATATACTGAAAATTGTATTTCAATATAATTGGTTTCTTTGTTGATCCTAAGTATTTTCTTTTATGCATTTAAAGACATTCTGAGAAGTGGTTTAATAAGTTTCACTAGATTGCCAAAGGAGTCTGTGACCACCTAAAAGGTTGAAACTTCTTGGACTAGATCATGGATAAGTTCCCTGGCCTTTCCAAAGGTTTCTTACAGCCTCAGGAATAATATTGAGCAGTACCTCTAGTACAGTGGATCTCAAAGTGTGATCCAGGGATGCTTCAGGGTCCAAAAGACCCTTTCAGGAAGTCTGCAAGGACAAAACTATTTTTATGATAGTACTAAGATATTTCAATTTCAAATACTGTAAATATTGATAGATATAACCACATAAACAAAAGCTCTTTGAAATCCTCAATAATTTATAAGAATGTAAGGGGTCCTGAGACCAAAAAATTTGAGAACAACTGTTCTAGACAATAAGAAGATGAGGTAGGGTCAGGGCCCTAGCAGAAGGGGTGACACTGAAGCCTCAGCTCTCCTGCCAGGTCCCATTTGTGTGTGACCACCAGCTGGTTTCGCACTGGCTGGTCCACAGCTCAAAAGAAGAACAAGATAAACCAATAGACTTGCCTTCTTAGCAGGAGAGCCTTTTCCTTTCATTGAAGTAGAATAGATGAAAAAGCTATGATAGTGTCAGAATAGGGCATTGTCCAAAGGGGGCTGGTGGAGTCCCCTCTACCACATCAGGTGGCAGCCAGCTATGAATTAATACATTAGTCTTACTGAGCTGCCTGAGGTTCATAGAGGTTAAGTAACTCACCTAGAGTCTCACAGTTAGTGTGAAAGATAGAAATTCCAACTTGGACTTACAGATTCTAAACATAATGCTTTATCCACCACCGACACCATGATGCTTCAAAAGCTCAATGTGCTTCTTTTTAAATGCAGTAACACTTAAATGTACCTCCTTGGTGCTAGCTAGGTTATGCCTATAGGTGTTAAGTGAACATGGAGCTGTCCTGTGGATTTTTCAGGACTCTTCTCTCTCTCTCTCTCTCTCTCTCTCTCTCTCTCTCTCTCTCTCTCTCTCAACTTCTGGGTTTCCACAGCAATTAATGATCTGGTGTTTGTTTTTTTAAGTCAGATTCTCTGGATAATTGTGGTCTCTTCTCTTCCTCTGTGTATGCCTAATGTGAAAGTTTTGTGGGGGTTTTTTTGAGAGAGAGAGAGAGAGAAGAGAGAGAGAGAGAGAGAGAGAGAGAGAGAGAGAGAGAGAGGAGGAGGAGAAGAAGAAGAAGAAGAAGAAGAAGAAGAAGAAGAAGAAGAAGAAGAAGAAGAAGAAGAAGCAGCTATAGCATCTTGTGCCTAGTGATGAACAGGATCTGTTAAAGAAAGAATAGGTCATCTGTCTAAACTGGGGGGAAGGGGAAAACATTGCAATTCTGGACCTTGCTTTTGAGTTGCTCTTTTCTCCCCAGTTTCTACTACACTAGCCTCAAAGATGATGATGATAGTAGAGCTGAGTCTGAGGCTAAAGAATCATGGCAGCAAAATTCCAAAGCAGCCCTCCTCCAATAACCAACTAACTTTTTTTTTACCAACTAACTTTTAAACCCACAACATTTCAAACAATCCCTTAGTCAAGGAGCCCTTTGACAATGACTTGCTCTTTAATCCCCAGATTGGTTGTAATATTGACTTAAGACAAATGGAGCCTAGCTGAGCCAGTGGAAAACATGGTCCCATTTGGAGACCTTTAGTCTCTGTGGGAGACCACTGATAGGACTAGACAAGTGTTAGAGGGTACCAACCTGCTTATCCTTGGTAGAGAGCTCTAGCAAGGAGGTGTCCTCAATGTGTCCAGAAGTACTTTTTGTTGAGATTTCAGTAATCCAAATAATTCAGGTCAAGCCAGAAGTTCCAGGGAATGAATTATGTGAATGGGAGAAATGTAGACCTGAGCTTCCTCTACACAATCAAAGGGAGAAGGGAATTGGGGTCACTTCTGAAGACACTGGAAGGTACCCTACTTCTCCAAGATAAAAGGATCATAGAATTTACTGCTCCAAAGTACCTTAGAGATCACCTAGTCTCAACCTTATTTTACTGATAAGAAAACAGAGAACATGATAATGAGGAAAGGAATATTTTAAACCAGCTTGAATTATCTGGTTTGACTGTCTACAATTGAAATTCTTAGCTCATTGTTGACTTCATTTTGCCAGGATAGAAAAGGCTTATGTGCTGTGATTTCAAGACACTAAACATATAATGACAGCCTGTGGGCATATTTTATGGGGAAATAAACACCCAGCCCATTGAGAGATAGAGTGTTATTTTAATATATTGTATGTTCATATATTTATGGGGGAAATAAACACACAACCCAATAAGATATGTATTATTACTTTAATATATTGAATTTATTTCATATCTTTATAGTTTATGAGGGAAAATAAACGCATGGGCTAATAAGATACACTATTATTATAATAGCATATGTAATTGTTCTATATTAATTTATTTATGAGAGCAGTAAATGCAATGGAATATGGCACGTAATATTATTTAATGTATGACATGGGTTCTACATCAGTACATTTTTTCCAGAGGTAAAATTCTAGCTAAATAAGATATGCACATCTCTCCCTCTAGCCAATCAATCCCTCCCAAACGGTATTTTGTACTTTGATATACCCTGACTTACAAGTCGCCTGAGTTGCCGGGGTGATTGAAGTCTCCCACTGCGTGGTGCGCACAGAAAACCCAGCGAGTTCCAAGCAGGCCTCTTGGCTAGCACCCATCCCTTCCTCTGGTCCAGACTGAGCTCTAGGAGGTCCGGGAAACAAACGCTTCTTTGAGAGGCTGGGTCTAGCAGTGCCAGTAGCCAAATTGAGCTTATTCTGGAGCAGAGGAAATATTAACTAAACTTGAAGCATGACTTTCTGGGGCACTTTAAACATGCACCTTCTTGCCATACCGAGAGAGGAGTGAGAAGGGTGAGGCCTTGGTTCTACTGCTCCTCAGTAAGTCGAAGTTTGCAGGGTGAGGGATAGGTGTGTAGAGAAGGATGTTTCAGTTGAAATGAAACTTTTTGGAATATAGGCAGTTAACGTTTGGAGAGAGTTCTGTCTTGGCTTAATATCTTGTGGGTCCCACAAACTGAAGCAATAAAAACATGCACACGCGGATGTGAATTACGGACGCAAGTACACAGCGTACATATCTACCGATATACACATACCTACACGTAACTTTCTATTGGACACACTTTTTGCATCTGCTAGGCTCATTTAAAACAAAACAATAACCAAGAGAAAACTCCCGGCCCCCATTTAGCCGCCTGCCAGCTTGGGAAAACGGGGAGGTGCGGTGAGTAGGCTGACAAGAGGGGGGCTGGTGGTGGTGGAATGGATTACTCACTCTTCCTCCTCCCCCCAGGCTGGAGCCAGGGAATCCTGCTGTCATGGCGGACAAAGCGTCTCTTCGCTCGCTTTTCCAGGCCCGAGCTCCAGCGCCATTTTGAGGATCCCTCACCATTCCCCCTTCCTCCTCCCCAACCCACCGGCCACTCCGCCTACGCTCGCCACCACCTTCTCGCCTCCAGCGCCACCCGCCTTGCTGCCTGCGTCCACCCTCTCTCTGCCCCCTCTCCAGTTCTCCGTCCGTCCAACTGTCTCTCTGTCTCGCACACAGTCTCTTCTATCGCTTCCCTAACCCCTGACAGGGTCCACTTGGCCCAGGAGCCCCCAGTGCCTTAGAAATAATTTATTTTTCCTTGTCCACCGCGATGGATTTCTTCGTTGACCCTTTTTCATTCATAACCATCCTCACCCTCGCCTCCTCCCGCTTGATATATGAGTTTCATGTATAAAATTCCATGTTGGAAGGGATCGCTTCTGTCTGAGAGCACGTGGGCCCAGACACCGAGAAAATCCCCCACACCGCCACACACATCTTCTCCAGTCCCTGGGTCCAGGCTCACAAGCTGTCTCATTTTTCCCTCTTCACTGATCCCCCATCCTCTCCAGAAAATTCCTTTCCATTCCTTCTCCACCCTCAATCTTTCTGTTTAAAGATTTGAGAGGATATGCGTGGGTTTTATTCTGTGAGGGCCCAGGGAGAAATAACAGAAACAATTATCTAGGGGGAACTACAGCTACCCTTCCCCCTTCCTTCCCTTTTTGGTCCCTTCCGTCTTCCTGGGGAAGCTCTTTCCAATTCACCTATGCCGCCTACCCTTTGCAAATCTTACAAGAAAGACCACAGGGTCTCTTCTTTCTCTGGCAGATCCTATTTTCATGGCCGTTTCTGTCTTTGTGTCTAAGGAGAGGATTTCTTTAAATGCAAACAAAAATAAAACGAAGTTAAAGCAACCCAACCCGGCAAGATGCCGAGGGGTCTTAAAGATAGAGGTCAGGTGAAGATGGGAAACACAAGCATTCATTCTATGTAAACTTTTGGCCCTCTCCAATTTTTCTCTGTAGTCTGAGAGAGGAGAGAGAAGAGTGCAGAGTTGAATCCAGAGGAACTGATTTGCAGTACCCGGACTTCACAGGTCCGTGCATACACTTTGTTCCAAAATCTGCCTCGTGCCTTCCAATCCGGGGGAATAACAGATACCCCAGATAGGACCTGGAAAAGGAACTAGAAACTAGCTTCCAAGGCAAAAGGAATCCACTAGAGCTACGCTAAATTGTGGAACTTCAGGAAACGCCTACGCACAAAAACAAACGCTCACTTGTTTTCGTATAATAAAGACATTTATTTAATCTATGAAAATAATATACAATAAATACTTTCCCCTTTTCCTATTAAAGAATTTTAATAAATAGTCTACTGTCTAAAACTTAAAAAAGAGGAAAATAGGTCCCTCTGTTTCTTCTTAAGAAACCCCCCCCCAAGAGTTTATTATTCCTGAGATTTCATTGGAAGTTTACCAAAAGGATTTCTGTGGGTTTTTATAAGGAGAAGTCTAAGTGTCTAATAAATGAGAGAGAGAGAGAGAGAGAGAGAGAGAGAGAGAGAGAGAGAGAGAGATGAGAGGAAAATGGATAAGACTCTAATTTCGATAATACCTGAATTTTTAGTAAAACTTATAAAGGATTCTATGGGAATGAGGAAAGGCGAAGAAAGGGGAAAGGAGTCCTCTAACCTAGAAAGAGTACTCCCTGATACGAAGTGAAGAGGTCAGAAACGGGGAGGAAGTGGTGGGGTGTGTGTGTTTGGGGGAGGGGTGTTATTGGAATTGTAAGTGTTCTAAGTCGATGGTTCGAAGCGTGCTGGTGAAGAAATCCAGATCTTCCTCAGAGAATCGTACTGGACTGTCCAGGGAGCCCTGCAGGCTAGGAGAAAGCCCCCCTGAGAGCGGGAGGCAGGAATCTGAAGCAAAGAAGTTGAGATCCGGCAAGAAGGGAGAATCTTGCCCTTCGGGAAATGAGTCGTCCAGGAGAGTCTCGGGTTCCATCGCCCCTGGCCTGTCCTCGGAGTACTGAGGACTCTCAGCGTTCGAATTCTCTGATGGGGCAGACAGCAGCCGAGGTCCTAGCTGACCTAAGATGGGCTTGGTGGGGAGAGAACGAGCCTCTTTATCCCCTAGGGACGGCAACGGTGCGTCCAGAGCTTGACCCAGGACCGGGCTGTCCTCTGGCTCCTCCGCTGGGTCGCTACCCTCCTCCAGAGCCCCAGGGTAAGCGGCTTCACCATCCAGAGGTTCCTTATGCTGGTTCTGTCGTTTGTGTTTCATTCGCCGGTTCTGGAACCATACTTTGACCTGCCTCTCTGTCAAGTCTAGCAGCGCCGCGATTTCCACCCGGCGGGGCCGGCACAGGTATTTGTTAAAATGGAATTCCTTCTCCAGCTCCAGCAGTTGTGTATTTGTGTAGGCTGTGCGCAGTCTCCGGGCCCCGCTGCAGCCCCCGTCCTGAAGTCCAGGGGTATCTGGGGGGGGTTAATATAAGTGTTAAACTGGGGATACAGGTCCCCCTCCTCAGCCAAGTCTCCCACCAATTCAGCCGGCATGAAGCCCTCCGCCCCTGGTGGAGAAGAGATTCAGTATGAACCCTCCCACTCCTTTTCCCTTTTTAAAAAGGAGGGCCAATGCCGCTCGCTGTGCCGCTATTCCACTTTCCTGTCCTTCTCGAACCTCACTCCAAGCCGAGCCAGAATCTCAGGTCAAAGCAAGACCATGGGAAAGGAATTCCAAGCTTGGAAAACGTCGTCCCTACCTCTATCCCTCCGGAAAGAGAGAAAAGCGATTCCTGATCCCTTCCAACAGGAACTGGAGAGATGTGCTTACAGTTTGTATTGCATTCTCACACACAGGGAAAGCGAGATCCCTCTCTTAACTTACCCTATCCCACTTAGAGACACCCCACTGCCCCCACCCCTACAGAAAGTTCTGCAGTAGCTCTAAAATTCTTCAGCTGCTCTTAGGGACTTAGTGGGGGGGGGGAGAAGCTCTCCTTTCCCCTCCCCTCAGACTCAATTCCAGTAGTTCCCCCCATGCCCATCCTCCAATGTACCAGGCTCACGCCCTTGCACAGAGAAATGAAAAAGCAAATAAAATCTCTTTTTAATCTTTAACGGAAAAAAAAAAACGGACATGCAAAGGAAAAGTAACCTTAAAATCATTCTCCAAAATTTCCTGGGGTTGAGGTAGAGGGAAACCAATTGTCCAGGCCCTGACTTTTCATTCCCCTGGTCTGTGGGAAAGATGGGGACTGAGTGAAGAGACCCCAACAGCTCTTTCCCGCTCCAGAATCCTACCCTAGATCTATGTCTACCCGTCTGCTTTTCCCCAGACCCATTAAACTGCCTAGCCCACGCCCCCATTCCGCTATACTGACCTGCCGGTGATGCAGCTCCAGAGGCCGGCACCGTGGAAGAAGCTGGGGCAGGGGATGAGGCCGATTGGCTGGGTTTCTTGGTCGATTTCTTCTCTTTCATCCAGGGGAATTCGGGGGCCAGGGGAGCTGCGAGGAGAGGCTGCTGTGGCGGAGGCGGCGGCAGAGCCGGCCCATCCTCTGTTCGCTTTTGGCTCCGGGGTCTCTGAAGGGTGGAGGCGCCCGGCTGGAGGCTGGGGATGGTTTGCTCGAAAGGAGGAGGAGGAGGAATTAATGTCGACTCCTTGATTGATGAAGTTTGAAATGTCTCCAAGACAGCGGGGAAGGAAGTCAGGCACTCGGCGAGCGATGGCTGGCTGTTTATAAACCCAATCTCCCTCTCAAATTCAAAATTCATGGCTTTCAATGGTCCCAGCCTCAGGGTGGGGGAGGGGGCTTGCTGGGGAGGGGGGTGTCAGGAAGGGAGGATCGGAAGGAACCCCCCCTTCCCCCCCAGTTTACAGATGGGGTGATGTTGGAGGGGGAGGGAGATTTCGCTCTCTCTTTCTCCCTCTTTTTTTTTTTATTTCAGGCCTTTATAATTGTATATTGCTGATAAATACAGGCGTATGGGGACTCTCTCTATTAAACCCGAGACTCGGCCGAAATTGCAGGCAATACGCGGTCACGGGACCGGCCTCGGCCAATCGCTCACCGAGGCCTGGCAGAAAACAGAGAGCATTCTTTCCTTTAATTGATTCAAAAACTCCAGAGGGCCAGGATGTGGACACTGCCAATCCCCAGAGGTCCCTCGTATCTCCCTCACCCTATTTCTCCCCCCCCCTTTCCTAAACTAGTACTGAAACATTTTTCCTGTTAATGGAAAGACTTGGGTGGGGGGAGGTCGCCTACATGAGAAGTCTTCCTCCCCCCCATCCAAATAAATACACAAGAATAAATTAACCTTTTCAGGATAGCAGAGTAGATTGTGGAGCAAAACCTAGCAGGAAGAGAAATTTGAAATGGGCTTTCTTTCTCTTGAAAGTTTCTGCCCTAGAGAGCAAATATCACTCTTTCCCCTACCCATCCCATAATGTCAAGGGTTAAATTTTGCAAAGATCAATAGATTTCAACCCTGACACTAAGCACTGAGGCATAGAGGTGTTACTGGAGAGGCAGAATGGTGTAAGTGAAAATTAATACCGAGCTGGGTGTTATAAGACCTAGGTTCCTCCAGTCAAGGTCTTGCTACTAAGTGGCTGTGTGTGATTTTGAGCAGCTCATTACAACTCACTAAGTCTCAGTTTCCTCTTATGTAAAATAAGAGGATTGGGTTAGATGATTAGATCATTCCTAAGGTCCCTTGGGATTCTATGGTTGTACAAAAGTTCTAATGGGCAGCTATACTTTATATACTTGTATTCAATTGCTGTATCTATAGCTATACTCCACATTTATGCATATTGTACATCTGTGTCTCCAGTTTTTTAAAAAGGAAACTATATTAGTCATAAATGCCTGTAACTCTATTTTTACCTATTATTCAACAGCAAACACAAGACCCACCGACTTAAGAATCTCAGGTCCACGAAGAAGTTTGCTTTGGGGAGAGTTTGTGTTTCCTCCCAGGAAAGAATCTTCTTCTCTTGGATTTTTCCCTCCCCAGCCCCATTTGAACTACTTTGAAGGAGGAAATTGAGAACAACTGATCTCATATTCCCTTGCTTGGTTTTGAATGGGAAGATTTTTAAGGTCTAGAGAACTAATTAAAACTTGGGAAAGGGATGTGTGTGTGAAGCTGAGGTTGGGGATGTGGGTGAATCCAAAACATTTGATTGGAAATAAAAAGAAGCCACTGCAGACACTGAAAAATCAGTGCTTGGGGAAGATTTTTTTTTTAATAAGTAGGTCAGAGGGACCAGAGAGGAGAAGAGGCGATCAATCTTAGCCCTTTGACAGCTCCCTCCTATCGCATCAAAGAATTTGGCTCTTTGGGAAACGGAGAGGGAGACGCCTAAAATCATGATCTCTTAAAGGCCAAGGTGGGGGAGGAGTGGGGGGTGGGGGATGCAAAGGAGAAAGGTGAATCAGGGAGACCCAGGAGTAGCAGATGGGAAATGGAGAAAGAGAAAACGGCCACTAAAGTAAGGGGAAAGTTACTTTGGAAAACTCCCAGGGCTCCCTATCCTCCCCTCCCCCTCCCACTTCAAGCAGTAAGCAGGAGGAGAAAGAGGTGGCTAGGGGAGAAATGGCAACTCCGCTGGGGCCGCGCGAGCTAGGAACTTACTTTCTGTCAATTAGACATTCGTGTAGGCGGTGAGTATTTTAAATGAGGCGCAGAGACGGAATCGGGGGAGGAGAGAGAGCTCTGACTAAAGAATATCCACAAAGGGGGGACAGAGGGGCAGGATGGCTGGAGAGGAGTTGTGTAAGGGGTGAGGGAGAGTTTGGAGTTTTGGGTGGGCTGTTGAAATCACAGAATTTCGAAAAGTGCATGTTGCTTGCATCTGGGGAAACCAGGTGAGGTTCGAGCTCAAGTCAGTGAAAAAGAGTTTTTCGTTTTTGGAGTTTTTTTTTTCTTAGGAGAGAAGGCTAAGGAAGATATTAATATTTTTTAAAAATCTTCCCTAAGTTTTTATTATTTTTGGAGCTTCAAAGCCTTAGATAAGATGGGGTTTGGGCTCTCTTAAAGACAACTTGACGGGTCCAACAGACAGCCAATCCCTGAAGAAAAGATAGGGAACAGGAAAAGCTCGTGGTGGTGTTGACTTAAAAGGTTCTATAGAGTTGACCTAGTGAGTTTGGCAGCTTTCTCTCTGTAGTTCAGACAGAGAGCTCTTTTAGGAAAAAGGAGAAGGAGGAGGAGGAGGAGGAGGAGAAGAGGGAAGAGAAGGAGGAGACTGAAGAGCTGCCTCTAAGCCCTCCTGACAGGTTTTACGGGCAGATTAAAGAGCAGCGTAAAACTTGTTTATTAAAGAATTAGAGGTGGGCCTTTAGCAAGAGAAGACCTAGATTCCCAGAGACATATTTTCCAGCTGCACTGAGACTCATACAGCAGAGATATTTTAACTTAATCTCTGGATAGGTATCTGAGCTCCTGAAATCTCCAGAAGGGAAGGGCAGGTAGACAGCACGCCAAAATACTGCCTTATTTTTCCTCTATTCTATTCAGCACTACAGTCAGTTACTCCTGTTTTCAGACTCGCTAAATACCTCTCTTCCTCCTCCCTCCCTCTTGCTAGATAAATAATCATCCACCTCCCTCCTACCCCTCCGCTTCAACCCCAAACACGGGCGCTTCATCTAGTTACATCATCCAGAAAATGTTATTCAGGGAAGAAGAAGAGTGAGAGGGAAGGGAGGGGCGGGGGGGGGAACCCTTGAGCATTATTTGATCCCAATCAAACTTTGCACGCTCTCTCGCTTTTGGATTATAGTGTGACCCAATGGCAAATTGCTTCCTGCTTGAATGAGTCGAGTCCAGTTAAAATCTTGCTTCGAAACATGGGGAGAAATCAGGTTGCTTTTTTATCGTTATTTATCGTTGCATAAAGACTGTAATTACTAACCTTGAACTGTCTGGATGTAACATAAAAATGAAAATTAGCCCTCGTTTTAAGGCTGGCGGCTGGTAATCAAACGTGCCCCTCCTTTACCCCTCCCTATCCCGTGCATACACACACACACACACACACTATACATATATATACACATGTATACATAAACATATGCACTTATGTATATGTATTTCTTATTAAGCAATGCGAGCACATCGCTTACAATTAGAATTATGCAACTCTCAAATCCACTTCTTTCAGCGAATTAGCCCCATATTTCAGACTCCCTGTCCTCTCTCTTATCGGCTCCTGCGATTCAGCGCTGACATTTCATCTTTGACAGACGCTTTCTATCCTCGCTCCCACATTATAAAACTTTTATGGAACCGCGACTAATAAATGAAGTTTTTGCCGAAATTGGGGGAACCGAGAGGCCCACAAGCCTAGGAATTATTTTATTTATTCTCCTAACCCAAATGTCTCCCCCTACCCCTGTCCTTGCCTAGTCGCAGCTGCATCAACTGCTCCTCTCCCTTCCAGAGATTGGTTGCTTCCACCTTTTTTTAATTAGATTTAACTTCGGTTGCAACGTTCTGACCTGAATACTCTAGGCCTTAGAATTTATTTATTTAAAATTTTTTAAAAGATTAATCATTTTCCTTTGTTTTCATTCTAGACCCAATGGTGGTTGGGCTCCAGGGTCACGTGATGGCTTCTTTGTAGCAGCGGAAAAGGCTTGCGAAGTTTAGGCTGCTGGAAGGGAGATGGAGCCGTTATCCAGAGCAGAGAAAGGAGAGACAGAGAGACAGAAGCAGGAAGCCAGCGAAACAGAGGTGTAGCTGGGCAAATTCAGGAAGACTGTTGAGAGAAGAGTACAAGAGCTTGTTAAGGAAGCACTAACTTGAGAGGTTGGCAGACTGTTACAATAGGAAACAAACAGAACTCAAAAGACAGATTCACGGGCAAGGGGAAGATGCTAGGGTGAGGGCTGGGAAAGAAAACCAGAATGGTATCTTCAATCCCCTTCTTAAATTTGGGAACACTGGACAGCTTGGTTGTTGCCTGACCAATTGGACCAAAGAGACAAGGTAAAATTGATAACAGAAAGTTTATTCAAGAATTGCTTGACAGACAACTCTTTTTAGTAAGGAAAAAGTAACTCCTAAGAACAAAGAAAGATTTCCAAGAGGGAGTAACTAAGTCTACAAATTCAGGACTATACAGAGACGATTAGGAGCTGAGTTCATGCCTTTAAGAGAACTAATTACAATTGCTCATAAGTACGAGGGTAACATAAATCTACGGCTCTTTCCTAGAGTACAGTAATAACTAAAATAATAAAAAGGTTTTACGACAGGAAACACAATGTCCTTTATAACAAGTGAATACTAAAAGAAAAAAAGTACAATTTTCTTTTGTCCCTCATATAAATACATAATGTTGGGTAGGGGGATAAATAATACAAAAAAAATATTTTAACAGGCTATAACCAATAAATATATATATATATATATATATATATGAAAATGTTCACTAGAACACACACTTTCAGAGCAATGCCTGGATTCTTCGGGCCCAAGCGTCTCTCACAGTTGTTTTTATATCCGTTAAAATGTAAACTCTAAGTGCAACAATGGTACCCAGTTAGGAGCATTAGGCCAGCACATACCAAAGGCTCTGGCCTCAGCTCAGGCCCTGGGACATAGTTTGTTCAAATATACCCTGTTTTCACGTTAAGTCAAGAGAATAACATAATAATAATAACAATAATAATAATAATAATAATAATAAAAAAGCTTCCAACCCCTTTTGTCTGGATTGCTTTTTGTGATGAGCCCTAAAGAGAGGAGGGAGGATGTGGTGATTGGACTGGAGAGTGAGAAAGTGGGGGCAGGGGAGGACAGCCGAATATTTAGACCTGACAACTTGCCTGCCCCAGGCCTACCTCTGCTCCTCAGTCATTTTTCAAAGAAAAAATATATAGCTATATCTTTATAATATAGGCAGCTATGACTTTCAGGATCTCTCAGCATCCCTGAGCCCACTGAAAATTGTAATGGGGGGAGGGGGAATCACCAAGTATGTAGATCTTAAAATACTGGAAAAGGATGTGAAGCTAACAAATAGGGTGAAGGAGGAGGAAAGGAGAAGAAGGGAGTGAGGGTGGCCTTAGATAAGGCCTAAATGAAAGGGAGAAGGAAGCAGATTTTGAAGGTTCTAAAGAATGGAGGAGAAGGAGTTAGTGCTGGTTCTGTGCCCTAGGCGTTGAAATATTTGTGTATGTTTTCTTTTTAAAAAGAAAGAGAGAGAATTAAGAAGATATCTGGGGTAGCCAAGAAAGGTGGGAAGTAAGTAGTTTGGTTGCCTTTTGTTAAGTCATCCTATTCTCTGCTTTTAAAATGTGCTTCTCCACAACCCCCAGCTCCAATTTTCTGAGCTTCTCCTTCTCAAATCCCTCCCCCCCCCATGACATTCTAACTAAAAGCTGTATTGGAGCTTTGGAGATATTAGGGGAAATGGGGGCAGAGAAAGGGAGTGGAGAGGGAAAAGATCTCTAGCCTGGTTTGGATTCGGTTCTTTAATTGGCAGGTAGAAGGAGGTAAGTTTGAATGCAAATTTTGTGATGTGGAGACCTGGGAGAGTGAGCCAATACCCTCCCCTCACCCCCAGCTCCCACCAGGCCCTTTCTTCACAGAGAAGCTGCGTATGTCCTATAATTCTCCCTTTTGTCCTCTCCATCACCTCTGGGCAATCTCAGTCTAGCTGGCTCTTTCCCACACCCTCTTTCCTCCTTGTGCTCCTCTACCCCACCTCCCTCACGTCTCCTCTCACAGGTGTGTCAATTTGGGCGCTTCTTGGATTCTACCCTGAGGAGGCGCATGGTGAGAAGAAAGGTCTGTGTAGGTGGGGTGTGGGTCGCAAGGTCCGTGGTGCTGGCTGGGGGCCATAGGGGGCGCCCCGTTGTAGTCCAGGTTCCCAGACGGGTGATGGGACAAGTGGTTGAGGCCATACAGGGAGGGACCAGCAGGGGGCGGCAGTGAATCCACGTACCCGCCCCCTCCGACGTACACAGGACTGCTTTGCATGCTCGGTGTACCGTAGGCTCCCCCGTTGCCTTGGAGGACTTGGGGTTCATACTCGGGAGGCGCGGGGTTGGGCGTGTATTTCTGCGGGGCGGCACAGCCCTTGAGTGGCGGTTGGTAGTTCGACGGCAAAGCATAGGCATTCTGGTGGGGTTTGCCGAAGGCAGGAGGGGACGGGGTCTCATAGCTGGAGGTCATGGTATGTAAGGCGTTCATGAAGCCCGCTGTAGATTGCATGGGCTGAGGGGGGCTGCCGGCCGGAGATGGGCCTCCCGAAGACGAGCCCAGCCCCTTGGACTTCTGGTCCTTCTTATACTTCATCCGCCGGTTCTGGAACCAAATCTTGATCTGGCGCTCACTCAGGTTAAGTAAGTTGGCCATTTCCACCCGGCGGGGCCGACACAGGTAGCGATTGAAATGAAACTCCTTCTCCAGCTCCACCAGCTGAGCACTGGTGTAGGCTGTCCGGGCTCGTTTGGAGGCTGAGGATCCCGGTGGGCTCTTGTCCCCTCCCCCGCCTCCCCGCCACCCCCAACCCCTCCGCCTCCGCCGCCTCCACCGCTGCCGCCGCCGCCGCCGCCGCAGCTTTCTGCCGGATTGGAGGGGGGAAGGGGGGAGGAGAGAAAATGAAATAAAAGATAATTACTGTACACGCCGAAATTGAATGCATCGTTTCTTAATAAATCCAGGCCCCGGCTCTGAGCCTCTTCTCGCCCTCCCCTTCCTCCCCCCCCCCTGTACCGTCGCATTAGCGGACACTCCATAATAGTGGCATTTATTAAGAGACCTGTTCTCCACTCCATGCCCCAGCTTATGAAAATTTGATCATGTCACGCAGACACAAGCTGTACGGCCATTTATTTATGACTGGATTATTTTCTCTCTCTCTCTCTCTCTCTCTCTCTCTCTCTCTCTCTCTCTCTCTCTCTCTCTCTCCCTCCCTCCCCCCCCATTCCTTTCTCCCTTTCTCTCACCCCTCTCCTCTCCTCCCACTCTCAGGTCTTCCCTTCTCTCCCTTCTTCGTCTCTGAAAAATAAAATCCTGAGAGTACTAATGAAGGGTCTAGAGTGAAGGCCACATTGGGAATCTGGGAATCCCAAAGCCAGGTGGGACAGACCCAGGGTCACCGTGCTGGGTAGATGAGGTCTGTCAAGCGGCTGGGACACCTCAGTGACTGTGATTAATACCCACAATAATCATACTTAATAATAATCACTCGGCTTGTGGGCCACTCAGGGGTTGTTGGACTGCTTTTCTACACTGTCCCACAGACCCATGGCCTGATTTTCCGATGTCTGGGGCTTTTGATGCAATGAGCAAGTGTGTGTTTGGAGGGGGAGAGGGTGAAAGGGGGGGCATGTCTTAAATAAGAATGTAGGTGGATTCAGGTGTCAGTTAAATTGAAGGGTTATACTACCCTTACCAAAGCAGTAGTCCCCCTGTTACCTGACCCTTCTTCCCACTCCTTTCCCTCCCCTTGTAGTCTGCCACTTGGGAAGTTCTGAGTGGATCCTGGGAAGACTAATAATCACAATAATAGAAATCAAAATAAGGCAGAGAGAGGGAGGGGCAATACCTGTGCTGGGGGAGCTGTTTTTCAGTTTGGAGTTTTGCCTTGACTCTTTCATCCAGGGAAAAATCTGTTTGCTGAGGGTGGAGTTGGAGCCAGGGCCGCATTTGGGGGGAGCGTTTTTGCTGGGGCCCACTGGCATTATTGCTGTTGCTACTGGTGCTGGTTGGGGCTGTATTGGGAGGGGGCGAACCCGGAGGAGGGGCCGAATGGTGCTCGGGGGCCAAGCCAGGCCTCATACAGCTGCCGTTCAACTCTTTGCTTTTGCCATGGGGAGCCGTGTTGCCCAGAGCCTGGAGTGAGCAGGCGGAACGCTGGTAGTCTCCTTCCAAGTGAGTGGCAGATTGGAAGGGGGGCTGGGTGGGCCCGTCGTAACCGAAGCCATTGCTGCCAGGGTAGGAATAACCTCCGAACAGAGCTGCTGTATTATCGTAGTAGGTCGCTTTCTGCATCACTGGAAGAGCCCTGGACCGCGAGTGGCAACTTGCAAGGGCCTGATACCCTCAGGACTGGACATTGGCACCCTGGGGTCACGTGATGTGCCGGACCCCCCCCCTCCCCTCCACCCCCCTCCTCCCGTGGTCTGTTGGAAGCGGCTGACCTGCGGGGCGAGAAAGGAGAAACAAGGGGAGAAGACTGGGTCTCGAATCCATCTTAGGCGCTGAAAAGCGAGCTGACATCAATAGGGTTTTTTTTTTCTATCCCCCCTCCACCTCCCCAAAGCAGATGCTGAGGCCTCCTTCCTGACCTGATGCTGAATTTTGCGAAGGATTTTATTTTAATGCAGAAAAAAGAGATTTCATCCCCCATTAAAAATGGTGAGAATGCTGATTTTGAAACGTCCCAGATCTCACAGACTCAACTAATTTCAAGTGACATCTTTTCCCCTCTCTCCCGTGGAATAGCCTTTGACCTCCCTCCCCCTCTTACTCCTCCCCCCCCCACACCCAAGTGTAGGATAGGATGTTAATCTGTGTCCTTGGCTAAGGGGAGGGGTGAGGGAAGCAGGGAAACTCTGAAATAAAAGCTCTGTCATCTTCATCATCACTATCATTATCCCAATATGAGCCCCCCCCCTTTGTCCATTTTCAAATTTCCTTCAACCAAGCAGGGAATTAGCCTGCCAAGCAGGGCGGGACATTCGATCCAGACAGAATAGGGAAGCAAGTTCAGTAAGCAATTTCCCCGAAACAAAACTGCCCCAACCCGCATGACATAAAACTCTCTGAAGTTTTTAGCCTTCTCCATCCCTAAGTTTTCTCCTTTTCTTTACATTTTCCTCTGAATCTGGCCAAATCCCTTACTCAGCCAAGAATGGACGGAGGTCCAAGGCCAACCAGCATATTTTGGAGACCCCAGATCCCTGTTGGATAGTTCATTCACCTTCTCCCTACCAGTTGGTGCCTCCACCATTTGGTACAGGTTTTCTCCACCTCTTGTTTTCTTCTCTCTGTGCCTTTGTGTCCCCCTACCCCCTTCCCTTTTTTCCTGTTTTCTTAGGAAGGAGAGAAAGAATAGAAGAGAAAGAAGAAAAGAGAAAAAAGAAAAAAATTGTACAGCTGCTGGAGTGAGGTGAAGAATGGCCCTTTCTCAAACAGAAAATGACTTGCTAAAGAATATCAACAAAACAGTGACTCCTGGCACTAAAAGTTGAGTTCTTCCTGCAAGCTGATTATAAAAGGGCCCAAAGAAGGCCAACTCTTTTCCCTAAAACAAGCAAAAAAAAAAGCCCTATTCTTAATGGTGTTGTGATTGTTTGTTTGTTTGTTATGAGAAAATGGCAGAAAAATAAAGTTGCAAGCTGCTGAGGACTTTGCTTTTTTTTTTAATAAGAAAAAAACAACTTCGTTTTGGCTCTATTTTCTCTTCTTCCTTAACCAATACCCTTAGATAGGAAAGAATTCTGTAAGCTGACTTTCTTTTACAATGAGTGTATTTGTGATAAGTGAATTCATTTTAAGTGATGCTTATCTAAAAAAAAGGCAAAGCAAAACAAAAACCTTTAAAGGAGAAAGAAAAGGGAACACTCTCCCACCAACCTTCCTTTGCTCCTCCACCAAGAATGCACTTAATGGCAGTTACAACGAATAAATACGGATTAATCCTAGAATCTGGATTGAATTCTGGGGGTGAATTTCTATTCTGGGGAGGACACAGGTCTGGAAAGAAGCGGGCTCTCATTGAGAAGGGTCCTTCTGACCCGGGTAGCGCAGCTCTTTATTGTTAGCACAGCTATTATTGTTATGATTTAGCCCAAATGAGCTTTGGAGCAGCCCTGGCTGAAGGGTGAATTAATTAACACGCATCAGCTGAGTTTGTTATTAATAGATTGGAGAGGGAAACTGAATACAAACTGAAAGGGAGGGGAGTTGGCGCTGGACAGAGTTTTATTTTGTCTAGATTAATATTACAGTAATAACAATAATACCAATAAGCATAATAATTTGGCTGGAAGCCTAAAGCCGATGAATTCTTCGAACGTGTCCTAAACTCCTTGACCACCCTTCCCCCCAAAAGAACCAATAACCTGGCAGCAGCAAAGGCCTGGAGTGTGTCTTAGCTGAAAAAGAAGGGAGATAGAACAAAAGAGAGAGAGAGAGAGAAGAGAGAGAGAGAGAGAGAGAGAGAGAGAGAGAGAGAGAGAGAGAGAGAGAGAGAGAGAGAGAGAGAGAGAATAAACCAGAGGGGAAGAAAAGCTGAGATGTTTGGGAAATTCAGCTCTTCACCCGCCTCCAGGGAAGCTCCTCAAGTCTCCGCTGCCGCCGTGTAGGAATCAGGATCATTGCCGGAGGAGGAGAACAGAAAAATGTCCAGAGTCACAGCTAGTCAGTGGAAGCCTCTTCCAAGGAGTCTACACCAACTACAGACCCGGGCTGTGCGGATCAGGCTCGAGTGCTTCCTTCTGTTCCAAGTTTGGCTTCCAGAGCTAACCGAATTAAAAAGCGGCTTTGCAACTCAGATGCTGTGCTTTTCTGAGATTGTGTCTCCGCCAGGGAGCGTCAAGGCCTGGTCAGCCGGGGAGAGGACCTCCGAGGGGATCATAGTTTGGGGTAGGTAGATAGAAAAAGCCGAGAAAAAATCCGACGGAGGGAGGAGGGAAGAAAGATTGCGGGGCGGGGGGGGGGAGGGAGGGAAAGTAAGCCATCCCTATAGAGAGCCAAATGTGTGTATTTTCCCTTCCTCCATGTTGGAAAAATTCAATTCTCCATCTGGTTCTTCAGGAGGGTGACAGGTCTCTCTCAGCTCCCCCACCAGGGCCTCGATAAGGAGGGAAGGAACCAACACCCCCCCCCAAGAAAGCCATTCCGCTCAGCGCAATCCCCTTTGCCACTGGAATCTGGACGCTTAACAATAGCTCGAGAGAGGACAGGAGGCCCCTTTAGAGAAGGCACAGGCCGATGGACAACCTGGGAGAAAAGATAGGATTTGAAAAAAAAAAGAAAAAAGAAAGAAGGAAGGAAGAAAAGAAAGAAATCAAAGAAAAAAAGAAAAAAGAGGAGAGAGGGAGGGAGAGAGAGATACATATGTGTGTGTGTGTGTGTGTGTGTGTGTGTGTGTATTATATATTATATATATTCCAGCCTTCCAATATTCCAGTCTTTCAAGCACAGTCTGGTAAAAAATTCAGGCCAAGAGATAGGTACAAAAAGAAAAGAGGAGAGAAAGGAGAAGAAAGAAAGGTTGAGAGAAAAAGAGAGAAGGAGGGAGAGGGAGAGGGAGGGAGGGAGAGAAGGAGGGAGAAAGAGAGAGAGAGAGAGAGAGAGAGAGAGAGAGAGAGAGAGAGAGAGAGAGAGAGAGAGAGAGAGAGAGAGAGAGAGAGAGAGAGAGAGAGAGAGAGAGAGAGTCGCTGCGTGGAAGGAAGCCTAAAGCTTGTGAACTCTTCTTGAACCGAGATCGCAGTCATATGGGCCATAAATCATTGAGACATACTCTCCGCCATTCACAAACTGATAGCCTATTTCAGTCCAGCTTACCTTAGCCACCGACGAGGGGAGAACAGGCAGACATAATATATATTCACATCGAGCCCCAACGCGAGCGGTAGGCGAGAAATCTCCCCAGCTTGAAGGCAAAAAAAAAAAAAAGCCACTGTTTAAAGCTACATCCCTCTCCCCCCCCCCACCCAAAAGAGGAACCCCGGCTGCGGAGCCAGAGGGGCCGGTCGCAGGAGCCTCGGTGCGTCCGTTTCAATTCACTCCGCTTAGGAGGGGGGGGGTGTGCGGAGGAGGGAGGGGGTGGGGGAGTAAGAAAAAAATAGAAGAGGCGAAAGGTGGTTCGGCAGCTCCCGGAGAATCCGGTTCCAGCCTCACGAACGGACAAGTCTCCACAATCTGGTTGCCCTATAAGACTGGTACGCCCTACTCTCCGATAACAATGGCCTCTGCTTTTGCACAGGGAAAAAACACACACACACACACACACACACACACACACACAAGCCTACATACACACCCCCCCACCTCTCCCCTTCCCAGGCTTAGATGCCTGATACGGAAGGAAGGTGTGGGGGGGATGTTTTTGTTTCTCCTCCTCCCCCCCAAAAAAAAAGTAGGAAGGGGAGGAGAATGTAGGGTTAAAACAAAATAGAATACAGGTGTTAAAAAATATATGTGCAAGATTTTGGGGGGGTGAGGAGGGAAAAGCCCCGGGCAAAGTGGGTAGAGTGAGTTATCATGCTTCCCTCGACCACCCTCACCGACCCCCCCCCACAGCAGCGTCACTAGCGAAACAGTATGCTAATTAGGCTCAGTAGTGGACTGAGGCCTAACCAGAGATGGCTCTGAGTTCTTGGGTGTGACTCTTGGGTGCGAATCCTCATTAATTTGAAAACATTAAGTTTCGCTATTATTGTTTTTTAAATAGTTTGAATCATCTTTGGGTCTTGCTTCTCCATCTCCCTATCTCTGCCTCTCTTCCTTCTTTTCCCTGTCCCTTCCCACCCTATACTTCTTCCTCCCCCACAAATCTCTAGGTAGACTCTCCTTCCAACTCCAACTAGGTGGAAGGGGGGAGCACAAGGATCTTTTTTTTTAAGCATAGCTCCCCCCTCTTTTTTTTTTTTTGCGAACAGGCAGCAAGCGGGTGACTGATGATTAAAACACAGACTCGCACGCACACACATCAATATGAGAGTTGGGGGAAGGGGGTCGAAACAAGGGGGACAAAAGGAGGAGGTTACAGTGCCAGGATGAGGTAGGGCGACCGAAGACTAGAGGAACTTCGCTCTGAAGTTGAGTCTGTTAATATTTTCACCTCCTGACTGGCATAAGATAGAAAAGGAGGTGAAGGAGAAGAGAGAGAACATTTACACTTCTAAGGACGGAAGAAGACAGTAAAATGACCTAGAAAAGAGCAAAGGAGACGGTTTTATTATTACTACTAGGACGACGACTATTAATAAGGACAGACCTGCTTGTTTCTCCAGGCCACCCAAGATTTATGGCTCTCTCGGTAAACTAGAGTAACTGCAAAAGCGAAACTTTCTCTTACGAAGGATTTCGTGTAGGGGCAGGAAAAGAAGAGAGGCTGGAGCTGCGTAGGAGGAGCACAGGAGCCAAGAATGTAGGTGTCTGCAGATTTAGGGACTGGGGGGGGGGACTGGGGTTCCCAGCGGAGGACTAATTCCCTTTAGGGGGAGAGAAAAAAAGGCAGAACACAGAAAGAGTGTTTTAGACTTTGCTTAACTGCTGACTCTGAATTTAGGAGGATTAAATGAAAGAATGAAAAGCATCTCCTCTCTCTCTCTCTCTCTCTCTCTCCTCTCTCTCTCTCTCTCTCTCTCTCTCTCTCTCTCTCTTTCTCTTCTTCTCTCTCTCTCTCTCTCTCTCTCTCTTCTCTCTCCTCTCCTCTCTCTCTCCCTCCCTCCCTCCCCTCCCTCTCTCCTTCTCCCCCTTAGTTCCCCCTCCATTCTGATTAGAAAGCCCTCCTCTGCTTTTGACTTATCTTTTTTTGATTTATTTTAGAAGCACCATTTGGGAAGACTGGCAACCTAGAAGAGGGACTCTTTACAGTTATTGTTCCCTCCCCCCACTGAGCCCGATGAGGATTATGCAGGGTCCCATCCCCCGCCTCCCACCCATTAGAGCTTCTACTTTTGAATGTGGGCAAATTCATCTCCCTCAGGAGGTTGCTAAGTCCACTCCCACCCCATACCCATCTCTCCAGGCAAGAACATCAGGCACCAGATCCAGACTGAATTTCTGGCCCAGAACGTGTTGGGGAGGAGCACTCCTGCTTCTAGTGTTTCACTAGCTCTGGCAGCTCCTATGGACTTTATTTTGGGTCATCTCCTCTACCAAGGGGTAGGGAAAGAGCCAGCACCGTCGGCAACAGAAGCAACCACAGCAAGATCGGATACCTTTGGATACGAGGCAGGGTGGATTCCTTTCGACTTCTCAGAAAGTTGGTAGTTGGAAAAGGGAAAAGGATGGGGAAGGGGGAAGAGCTGGGAAGACAAGATATTGTTGGGGTGGAAACCATTTCAACTTTTTTAAAAAATTAGTAAGTTTACTAGAAAATTTTCCTCAGTCTCCCCTTATACACACAACCCAGTGACCTCTAAAATAGACTTTTAGGGTCATCCCAATGTTTAGGTTTCAGGGAGAAGCAAACATTCTATACAGGATCTGTTAAACCCTTATGGATACTGTTTGGGTTAGCTAGAGGAAACACAACTGCCTCCACTAAAGCCCCCCCCCCCCCCCCCGCCACCATCTTAAATCCCATTTGCACACGGAAAGGGGATGAGGGGCTAGGTAATTTTAAGAAACTGAGAAAGAAGAGTCACTTAAAAAATACCCTACTTGATTCACTCTCTAAAATCTCCTCCTCCTCCTCCTCCTACAAATTATTATTGTTGTTATTACGACAACGACCACCACAGAATATCTGAAGCCTACGGACTTCTCCAGGCTCTGACTTGAGCTGGTAAGGAACAATTTTGTTCTTGTTACCCAAGAGAAAGGGATCTTTCCATATTTTATTTTTTCAGAAGGAAGGTGGGCACAGAGATGCTGGGGCGATTTGGGGGAGTCTCTATTCATTCTTTAATGTTTTTAAGAGGTCCTGGGATCTTCTAAGTTGCTGTCTAGAGCTGCTGCAGAGTAAGAACAGGGTGATAATCTATGTCTATGGTTATGGCTGCTGGAAAGAAGAGTTCTCAAGAAGCTTATGTTAGATACCTCATCCTTTGGCGCTGTGATAAAAGGCACTCAACAACTTACAGCTTCTTTTTGTCAGAAAAGGGAGATGAAGGAAGGGGCTAGGGAGGGTGAAATTAACTACAAGAAAAAAAATCAATCAATATTAAAGGTTACACTTGGTTTGAAAATATTATTAGGACCTCCTTAATTGCATTGTGCCTGGCATTAAGTTTATTTTTGGAGGACCTGTGAAGGGGCTGAAGGAAATAATGTGATTTACAATGTCCAAGAGTTGATGAGGATATTTTAATTTAATAGTTTTTAGATGAAAGGCTAAAAGATCCCCTTAAATCCCACTGCCATCAAAGATAAGGAGTTGATGGAAGTAGTGGTATCTTAGAGAAAGAATACCCAACCTGGGATACTGCTTATTTTATTTGAAGTTTCTGGCCTCTGTTTCTCAGGCCCCTTTTAAACTTCTCTTACCCCCACCTCTCAAAACCCAGTGAAAGGTTGATGGGGGAAAAACTGGAAGAGAGAAGTGGCGAACCAGGCACAAATGAGCTTGAAGCCCTTCAGGAGGTGGAGACAAGGGGGAGAAGAGGTGCAGAAAAGGGAAAATGCTTCCATGTTGGGGGAACCTCTACACTGGAACTCAGCAGTGAGGCTCTGTAACCATAAGTAGCACAGTACCGAAGGAAAACAATTCACTGCTCAGTTTTAGGGGAGAGGGAACAGATTACTGACAGAGGAAACTTTGGTTTGGTTTTTGTTTTTTAATTAGGAAGAAGAGAGATTGAAAGAGAAACAAAGTGATTAATACTTTAATCCAAAAAATGTATATCCCCTCAACTTTAAAATAAAACCTTTCTCAGTATTAAATAACCAGGCTGGACCAAAAGGCACAACCCTTTCCTTTACCTCATACTTGGCCTCAGATTCGTTCACCAGAGAGAGAAAAATGACCAATTTCTCCCTGTCCTGTACTTCTTTCATCTCACACACCATTCCCAGTTGAGGCTTTTCGAAATATCAATATCAGTTCGAGACTTTTCCAGATATCAGAAAAGTCCTCTCCCATCTCCCCCTCCAGTAAAGAGACTGGAAGATAGAAAGTAAAAAGAAATCAAATTTAAAAAAAACACATAAAATTTCTTTTTTCAACCCGCGTTTTCGTTCCTGAGGCCTTAGAACCAAGCTCCAGGCCTCTCCCGGGGAACCGATGAGGCGGGATCTGCCACCTTCCTTGATCCAAAGCAGGCCCGCGGCCAAATTGGGAAAGCCCCTCCTGAAGCTGAGATGGCAGGCGGAGCTGAGGAGCCTCAGAGACCTTTTGCAATAATTTTTAAAAATTTATTACGCGCACACGCAGCTTTCCCTCCCCTTCCTCCACTGGCCTCGGGTTATCGAAGATCCTTTAAAAATAACAATAGTAATCATCCCCTCTTCCGTATGAAGAAAGATCTCCAAGCCTGTAATGGGAAAGGGGGGGGGAGGGAGGACTTGGCACTGAAGGACGGTTCTAGGCATTAAGTTCTCTGTCCTCACTTTTCTCTCCGAGAAAAAAAAATCACCCCCAGCTACTGCGCTCTGGAACAAAAGAACACAGGAATAGATGGAACCTTACTTCTGAAGCTCTCTCCGAGAGTCCTCAAAACCGAAGGACATCGGGGACCTGACCAAGGAGAAACGGGAGGCAAGAGCAGAAACAGTAACCTCCGAGCAGAGAAAGAATTTCAGCCATGTGCTCAAAACACACTCGAACCTCTCTTGCCCAGGGCGACAGAAACAAAACAAAACAAACAAAAAATTAAAAAGCATTATATAATATCTGGGTAAGGTCTTATTGTTCTATATTATATAAAACATGTTCAAATGTGAAAGGGGTCAGCCAAGACCAATAAACTCTAGGAAGAGTTGCCCGTTTCAACAATGGAATTTTGAGTAATGCCGGTCTTCATTCGGAGGCTTGAAAGATGGAAAAGTTGAGTGTTAGAGGATGAGTGCCCCTTTAAGCGGGAGATGCCCTCTTTGTGCGCGGGTGTATGTGTGATAGAGTGTGTGAGAAGTGGGGAGGAGGAAGATAGACCATCTAAAGCCTCGGTAACCCCTCCCCCCCGCAGCAAGCCCCGAGAGCCCCCAAGACAAAGAGGCATAAAGCTAAGAGGGAAGAGGCAGTACTATGCTAGTTCCCTTCTTGTGAGGAAGGGAAGGTGAAGAGAAAACACATTAAAACAGACACGTACCCACATGGAGGAAGAAAGAGGAAACGGAGAAATGGAAAAAGGTAGAAACAGGAGCCCAGCCTAGGAAAAGTATTTGAGCCAGACTTCTCCTGACAGATTAGATGTCTCTCTCCCAGTGACCTCTGTTTAACAGACAATAACTCACTGGATTAATGACCAATCAACGGAAGTACTTTTGAATTGCCTCCAAATATAAAACCCAAAGCCCGGGATCCTATGACAATTCGCTTAGGGCAAATTATTGGGTCCCAATCCGCCTGCCTCCTCTCCCCTCCCTCCCATAGACTAGCTGCCTCTGTCTCCACGTGTATCTCTGTCTCTGTTCCTTTCTTGTTTTCCCTCAGTGAATTATTTGGGGGGGGGGTGAGTCAGTGGTAAGAATGTAGAAGACGGAATATTTGCCATTTACACGCAGAAGCCCCAGGTTCTCTGGAACCCCTAAGGATGGTTTGAGCTCAGTGTTCTACTGACAAGTCGACGTCTTATGGGGGGAGGTGATGGTGGAGAGAAAGGAAAGGGGAGAACCAGCCATGTCTCTTCTTCCTCCATATTACCTCCTACAGATTCCTTCAATACTTTTCAGTGACCTTGCTCTCTGTAAACTTCCCCATGTATCAAACTTAAAATCTCCACTTCTCTTCCTCCACATCCTCAACTCCCAGCCTTATGGTCACGCTATTCTCTAACAACCCAATAGTTTGAGAAAATAGCCTTCCCTTCCCTATAGTACTTCCTCTCAACTCTGAACCCAGAGAGGTATTTTAGTAAGTTAAAAAAAATGGTTGGGGAGAGGTACACGCCATTCCAAGCCCTCTGGCCTTTCCCCCACTCAGGTTTGAACCTGTTTTTAAAACAGTGGCAGTTAGCTGAGGGTACTGCCTGGAATAACTTCATTCTATTCTGAGCATCTCTTTCCTAAGACCTAGTAGGTTACACTGAAAGCTTCCCTGTATTAGGAGGTGAAATTGAAGAGCAGGAAACTCTCACTTCTGAAAGGTTGCTCACCGTTTAGAAGGTCCAGTCCTTCACTAAGATCCAATGAGACTTCCAACCTAATTCAGTTCACTTAGCCCTCTTCTGACCATCCCTGTCTCTATTACCTATACCCTAATATTCCATCTCCATCCTGCTCTAAGTGTATCCCCGATGGTGGCTAAAAATGAAGCCTGAGAGAGTAAGGAAGGATGAAAGAGCTGTAGTCTGGGATTCAAATTATATGAAATGGCTTGAGTTTACATAAGGAACCATGCTACTTCTGCAGAATTTGTACAATATGACCCATTGAGTTTAGTATTTAATATTTTCTATGAAAGATATACACTACATATATGCATAATATATGCATGCATGTGTGTGTGTGCGTATGTGTACAAGATGTACCAAAATTCTTAGCACAATGTTAAGCTTTAAAGGTTTAAAACTGCACTAAGACTTTTAGAACACTCTGTATATACCCATCGACCTACATGTAGCCATATACATCCATGAAGTATATTCATGGAGCTATAGATACACACATCAGAAATTGTATTTATATTTTATGTATGTCTATCTATAATAGTAAGTCAATGTTGCATAAATCTACAATATTTGTGTTGGTGCAAATAAGAGTTAATAAAGAATAAAAAATCCAAATCTATTCAATAAAAGGATAATATTTTGGCTAGTTATAGAATATTTTCCGTCAAGAGCTCCATGAAAATGTCTGCATCATACAACTACCCAATTACACACAAACACACACAAACTCTGTGTGGGCTTTAGGATCATTGCTCTACTACTGCAAAGGGTACTGATTTCCCAAGCTCATCACCATATCAAAAGCGCCATTCGGTGCAGTAGCATCCTCACTCGGTAAATAATTAATTTTTAATTGGAGGAGAAAACCTCCAAACTGGCAATTTTTAACAGGGAATCAATGCTCCTATTGTGCCTATCCGGGACGTTTCTTCTCCCCTTCTTCCAACTTCCCCCACCCCAAACCATCACTTTCTCCTGCAGCCCCTCATATTAACCCCCTTCCTGCCCCAAACAAGCAATCTTCCAGCTGAATTGGGACTCCTCTCCCTGCTTTCTTCCTCACTTCTTCCTTCTTCTCTCTCATTAGCCTGGGTTGAAAGGTCTCTCAGAAACTTTCCAGTGTCTGAGTCCCTCACCCCCACTAACATCACTGGAAAGCAGGCTGAGGGTGGACGTACCTCTCCCCCTGTTTTCCTACCCCTTCCCCCCTCTTCAGGGGCTCGGACTCTGCCAAACTGTAATGCGTTGGCTTGAGACCGGTTCCCGAAGCTTCTTGGGAAATGTGCAGTTCGCCTCCCCAGCCCAAGATCCCTCAACAATGCCGGGAGTTTGAATTTCAAGAAACGCCCATTAATATCAATTTACTTCAATGAAACCTCGGGTTCTTCATCAAGTTGATGATTTATGATAAAATCAATTAAATTACGGCCACTTAGGGCCGGGTGGCTTCCTCTAGGATTTCATTGGTGGACATGCAGCAAGCTTCTGGTAAAAAAAAAAATGCAAGTTTAGCTGGAGGCGAGGAAAGATAATTCTGCGGCTGAGAAAATTTAATGCAAAGCAATTTCTAACCAAAGCCGGGTGTCTGGGCCGGGACCAATAGCCACTACTTCGCCTGGGGAGATGGGCAACTGGAGGAGCAAAACTTTCTGTCTCTATCTTCATCTCGTTCTTTCTGTCTCTGTTTCTGTCGCTGTCTGTCTCTATCTCCCTCTCTGTGTGTCTCTCTCCTCTTTATGTCTCTCTCTCCCTCTCCTCCCTCTTTTTCTCCTTCTCCCTCTCCCGCTC